ACACCATCTCTTAACTGTAACTAAACTAACTGAAATAACTAAGCTAAGACACCATCTCTTAACTGTAATAACTAAACTAACATAACCCAGTTAACAAACTCCTATACCAACCTCCAAGACCAAATAAAAAAGATGAAGGAGCACGTAATAGCCTTTAGCACTTTTTTAAACTGTTAAGAAAGTATATGAAATATGGTGCATTTAAGTTGACCAAAATCAGAAAGGTTTTTCATTGAAAGGGAAAGCGTTCCTATAGAACACTTAAGGAACTATGAAATCTACATGGTACCATTTGGAGAAGGCATCAGTGCAAGGTCGGCACGTGTTAGCCTAAGCACTAAGAGACCTCGATGTCACTACCTAGTGAATGCTGGCGTACAAGAGATGGCACAGATACATGCCTCTGAGACAAGCCCATCTCTATAAGCTTGGATTTTGAGTTGTGTCTCCTATATGAGAATTAATTTAGACTCGGTCTTCACAAATCTCTTTTGAAATGAAGCTGGGTACAAACAAACAAACAAACAAATAAATGAATTAAACGTGTACTTGTATCTATGGAGAGTCCTACATGAGGTTCTCGGTAGAGGTAAGGAATGCAATGGCCATCACATAGAGGGAAGCCAGGTGATCGCCTTTGGACAAATTCATAGCATTCGCTTTATTAGCATAATTCTTTATTTAATTGACATAATTATACATAATCAAAGATGAAACATTGGAAGGAAAAAAACCTGATGAAATTTATCTCGTTCTTAAGTCTAGGTCTTATTTTTTCCCTCTTTATCAGACTAAAAAAAGCAAAGTTTAATTCACTTTAAATAGAAAGAATTAAAATAGAGGATCCATCATTAAAAAATTAACTAATATAAGCTCTATGAGAAGTCAATTCATAACAAAATAATTTCATAAACACAACTTAGGAACTCCTAGTTTTTACGTATTTAATTATCGCATTTAAGGTTATTGAAGGCAATGAGATTTCTTAACTTAGAAAGTATAAAACTTTTATTTTATTTATTTTTATTATATAACAAACTATAAATAAGCAAAAGTATTAAAAGCATAGTTTTGGGAAAAGTTACAGTAAAAGCCTTGCATTGTCTCAGTACATAAGATTTCATCAAAATAAAGAGTGCATTCAAATCATGTTACAGATCATCCTTTATTAAATAGTCTTGGAGGTTGATTTCTATCTTCACTTACTATGACGTGTAGTATGCCCCAAAGGGGTATTCAAGCTTACCTGTGAGCCTGGAGGAGGAGCCAAACCAAGGAACGAATAAATAATATTCTCTTCTTTTGCAGAGAAGAAAGAGTCGAAATCCTCGAAGCAAAGAAAAAGAATGTTCAAACCCACTACACTCTTGTAAGCCACCATATTTACCTAAGTTGATCTTTTTTTATTAGTCATTAATTTGGAGGCTAACACAAAAGCTTATGCCAGTCTGCTTTGCCAAAGATGACTAATCCCAAAAGTTAAGAAATCTAACCATGAACTTTACATTTGTTTTGACACACTTTCATTGTGCCTATTACAGTTTGGTGAGAATTCACACGCACGCACACACACATGCACACACTCATTGTTCACGCTCAGGAACCGCTAAAGAGACCCAGATATAGACAGTAAGTGATTTCTCAAGAGTTTCACATCTTTGGCTGCTTCCCTTATAATTTGGCCCTGTGGATTTGGACCTGACCAGCAGAGACTAAAAGAACACAGGATTTCTTTCCTGTTACTATACTAGCTTCTAAGGGCCAGGATCCAACTCAGGCCCTTCTGACCCCAGGAGCCACAAGATTATAGAGGGCTTAGAGCGGAGCTTGTTTTGGCAAAATGGGAAAAACTGTGATGTGAAACCTGGGAGTCATTTAAAATCTGAAGCTCAGTGAAGCTCCACCCCCCATCCCAGTCCACACCCTGCGGTCAGTTCTCCACTGTTTGGGTCCAGCCCTAAACCAGCTCTTCAGTAGTGTGGCTGTCAATAGCGCAGAAGAATTTCACTTTTTTATCATTAAAACATAAAAGAACTTCCCCCAGATGACTTTTTTACTGCCAATCTTTGTCATCAGAGGCACCATGCAGTTTCAACAGTTACAGAAAGGCTCATGCAGGAAAAGGAATTTGACCGGCCCGAACAGGATGATACTCAAACCAACTCAGCTGAGTTACTGCTGACCCCACGCTTCTGGGTGTTACAAAGCTTGAAACCAAACACAGGCTGCTTCTATTGCGAAAACATTATATATTTCTGTGCGCTAACCTTATCCAAAGCTTTATGACTTTCCTACCTGTCACCCCAATTCTCCGGTGATTAATTTTATCCTTTTATACTGAATGCATTTATGTATGCTGCCTCAAATCTCAGCAGAAGCAGATTCCAGGCCTCAAAGAGTTCCCACCACAAATAAAGTTTAAAAAACAAGCACTTCAAAGTCAAAAATTACAAAACAGATAAGGAAATAAAACTACAATGAATGAACACCAGCAGAAATTACAAAAAGCAGAATCAGGAATCAGAATCGAATATTGGAATTAGTGGGCAGAAAATATAAAATACCTATATTTAATATATTTAAAGAAATGAAAGAGAAGCTTTAAAACACAAGATAAAAAACAAACTAGAAAGAACAATGAACAAATTTGGAAAAGAACCAAAAAGTGCTCCTAAAAATTAAACTATAATAACCGAAGCGTAAAAACCTAACAGCTATAGATTAAATAGCTAATCAGATACATCAGTAGAGAAAATTAGCTAAACGGAAATTTTTTTAAAGAAATTATCTAGAGAGAGAAAAAAGAAATGGAAACGAGAAAGAAATATTCTTATAGAACAACAGAGTGAGAAGGTCCAAGAAAAATCCTACTGGAGCTCTGGAAGAAGCTAACAGAGACAGTGAGGGACAGCCATGCTCAGACGGATAATGGCTGATAAGTTTCTAGAGCTGTTGAAAAATACCCATACTTGGACTCAGGAAGATAGACACAGTAGATAATCCTAAACTAGATAAATAAAAAAGCAGCAAAGATGAATAACTATGAACACCACCAATAAACATGGATGCACCTTTAAAATATGTCGATGAAAAAAGCAAGACAAAGGAGAATAAACATAGCATGAGTCCATTTATATAAAGCTCAAAAATAGGCAAAACAAGACAACGTATTGTTTGGGTAGGGATACAGGCGAGATGAGGGCAAAGGAAGCAAAGGGTAAACACGAAATCCACTACGATGGCTGCCTCCGGGGCCCAGGGAGGCGGACGTGACGGAGAGAGGCACACACGGAATTCTAAATTTCTTGAACTGGGTGCTGTGCACATTCATTTTATTATCTGTCTTTAAACTATATATTATCACGTGACCTGTTTCATAATACATTTTTAATGACGTGAAGTAGCTTGTTCGGTAACAGCATGCTGAGGGAGTCCTCCTTCCTGCCCTCCCTTGCAGTCCTGAGGACACTTGCCTCTCTGAGAATGGCCAGGGTCCCCTTTGATCATGCTCAGGCCCACGCAGGCCCCCCAGGGCTAAGACGCACAGACTCCACTTGGCATCGACAGCCACGTCTGCAACTTCCTCTGCCAGGAGGGTAACCAGGCCTGCACTGTGCCCAGTTTCCCGTCGGCGTCCGCTTTCTCTAGCTGACAGCTGTCTGCCGTGCCCTCCGGATAATCTTCATCTGTTCGCACAGAGCAGCAGGACTGCGGACCAGAAGGGACACAGTGGCCCTCAGAACTACCCGCAATGCGCAGTCCTCTCGCGGCCCTGGTACAGAGAAATCCACTGCTTGTCCCTGAGGGTTCCTCTACCTGCTGCCATCATCAGGTATGGCATCTGGGTGACCATTCGCGAATCCTCAAAGATGAGTGATTCTACTTAAATAACAGAGTTATTCTTACATTTCAATCATATGGAAAAATACATCAACTGATCATCCAGATTTATGCCATTTTAAACGTGACACGTCCTTCAGTATCTCTGATTTTCCTTTTAAAATCTGAGTCTATAAAACAAATTATAGCTTTTACCTACTTTCTGGAAACAAAGCCCTCTGTCTCATTACTTCGCTTTGTTAAGAGCATCCTTAGACTGCAGAAAAGCAAATTCAGAAAAGGTGCTAGTAAGACAAACTACTAATACCTCTCTGAAGGAAGTTAAACATAAAATAATTTGTATATTCATCTCATTAGATCCATTCTTGTAATGAGAAAATACATCTTAAAAATAAAAGTCTTTTCTCTTACCTGGGAAAACTTTCCTTTCTCCCCCACAATTAAAATGAAAAAAATTGCTAGACCACAGCAAAATGGGATTTTAAAAAATGCCTTTAAGGTTTTATTTTTATAGCAGAAAATCATGGCAGAACTTTGACCCACGAGTTAACATAGGTTGGAAGCTACTCACTTCAATATTGTCTCTACTAGAACTAGACTTAATTTGAAAGGACAGTTAAAATAAACAAAAGTAAAAGATTTAAAATCCTACTTTCACTGGAAAAGTACTAGAAACAAACATGAGATGATTCTTTCGATAATTCTAGAGTACAGAAAGCTTTTCATATAAAACCTCGGGTGCGAGAACCACAAAGAATAAAAGGTTAATAAATTTATCTACGCAAAAATTTTTTAAGATCTGTATTCCAAATAACATCACTTTGAAAACTCAAAGGACATATAAGAAAAATGGAAAAATATTTGGAACATCTATGCGAATGAAAGGGCTATTTTCCTTCATAAGTAAAGACTCTTACAAACCAATAAGCATTACCTCTAACCCAATAGAAAAATAGCAAATCATAGAAAAAAACACAGGAACACAGGAAAAGATGTTCAGCCTCATCCAGAAAGACAGAAATTGTAGTCAACGCAGTGAGAAGACGTTTTCCATCTACAAAATTGGTAAAGGTCCAAAAGTTTGCCTACACAAGGTCATCAAAGCCACAGGGAACCAGCCACCCTCAAACTAGGCTGCTGGAATATAAATCGGTTCAACTGCAGTTCAAGGCCATTTGTCAAATCTATTGAAATGTGAGGTGTATATGCTTCAGCTCAGTGCATTTTCTAGGAATTCATCCTACACATTTGTGCTCATAGTGGAGAGAAAAATCTATATGTATGAAGAGGTTTGTGATAACGAAAGACTGAAAACAACCTGAATGTTCCCCATTATAAGACAACGGAGTGTCCAATAAATGGTCACATACAATTGAACATTTTGCAGCCATTAAAATAAGGAGTACATGCAGCTATGCAATGATCTATGAGATATGGTTATTAAATGAAAAAAAAAACGACAAAATATGTATAGCACACTCCCATTTTTAAGTGATAGACAACTGTTGATAGAAAATTTCTGGTAGGCCAAAGAAGAAATTATCAACACTGGCTGTTCAGAGCAGGATGGGCTACATAATTCGCAGGGCCCTCTGCAAAACAAAAACATGGGATCCTTGTTCAAAATGTGTTACGAATTTCAAGATAATGACAGCAGAGCATCAAACCAAGGAGAGAGCTCTCTTGAGCACGGGGCCCTGTGTGACTTCCCAGATCACAGGCCCACGCAGCCGGCCCACCTCAGGCGAAAAACAGACTGACAGGGGTCTGAAATGGGAGAAGAATAATTTTCACTGGAGGCCCTTTTAAGCCATTTTAATTTCTCAGTGTGCACAGTATTAACGTTTTGATTATCTTTTTAATTTTATAAAAAGATAATATAAAAATTGCCCACCACCACTGCCCCCGCAAAAAACTTTACTCTCCTTATCCTTATCCAGAAGAGTCACAATTCTTGGAGGGCTGTGGGGAGGAGGGAGGGCCGGGAGAGGGTGGGAGCTGGGGCGGAGGGGACGGCCCTCCTGTAGAGGAAATCCTCTCTGCGATCTAGAAGCCCCGCCTGAAACCCACAGGCGAGCTGGACTGGGCCATGTGCTCTACTGAGCAAGTATCTGCCACATTAACACTACTGAGAAAACTCCCGCAGCCACAGGACTTTGAGCCAAGCCACCGAAGAAACCTCATAGGCCCTGTAGCAGGTTAAAAAGCGGCCCTACAAATCCATGTCCATCCAGAGCTCCAGAAAGTGGCCTTATTCGGAAATAGGGTGGTTACAGATGTAATTAGTTACGATGAGGCCATATTGGATGGGGGTGGATTCCGGGGACCGCTGACTTTATAAGAAGGTCATGTGAAGACACAGAGAGACGCACAAGGAGAACACTATGTGAAGACAGAGGCGGGGGCAGGAGCGATGTGTCTTCAAGCCAAGGAATGCCAAGGATTACGGGCAACCACCAGAAGCTGGGAGAGAGGCCGGGAACGGGAGCTTCCTCGGAGCCTCCAGACTCCTTGATCTGAAACTTCTGGCCTCCAGAACTGTGACACAGTCCATTTCTGTTGTTTTAAGCCACCAAGTTGGTGATACTTCATTACAGCAGGCCTGGGAAACTAATACGAGTGCCCCCAAACTAAACAATTCATGTTTCGAATCAGAGTTCTGCAAACCTTTCTGTAAATGAGCAAATAATAAATATTTTCGGCTTTGTGGGCCCGTGGTCTCTGTTGCGATTACCCAGCTCTGCCAGGGAGGAATCAGCCATAGGCAAGAGGTGAACGAATCAGTGTGGATATGTATGTTCCAGTAAAAATTTAAATACTAAAACAGGTAGCTACAGGACTTGGCCCTCAGGCTGCACAGTTCGATGACACTCACTTTAGATGAGGAACAAAATAAGAAAGAGAAGCTGATCTAGAAGATCAGCAGCTCTGTGTAGGAGGAGAAGAGGTTAAGATGCCCACGCCTGGCTCCAGCCGTCAGAAGCAACACAGCGCTGGCCAATCTCTCCTACCTTCCAGAGCCCCAACTACTGCCTCTGAAGAGTGACCTAGAAGGCTGAGATGACCCCTAAGATAACTGGGTTCTCATGTACTAAAGTCCTTTGCATTTTTAAATGTTTCTTTTCAACAACTAATTAATTAGAACCTGTAAACACTGAGGAAAAAGTGGTTTGTGGTGAAATGAACTACTAAATGCATAAAATGAAATGCTGCTGTCATCGCAATGTCCAGAGCCGTCTTTAAACTCGTTAGATACATTCACGCAAATTTATCTTGCATGTCATAAGGCTTTACGTCTGCAAATCATTCTTTATAAAAGTGAAACCTTAACCTGTGCCCGTGTGGGTGCCCATTCGGTCATACTGCGCGGTCAGTAAGAATTCCTTTCCAACTAAATGCATTATTTTGTTTGAACCAGTGACCTCAATTTTCAAAATAAACTAAAGAATCTAAAATAATCTCAAGAACTTCTGAATCATCATTCTATTCTTCCATCATTGCGTAAATCTTAAATATCGTTTATTCACAGTGGATCTCCCACCCAGGTATTCATAGAATTAACTAGATCGTGACCTGAAAATGGCGAACGGTTTCAAATGCTGCTTCAAAATTAATCAATTTTGAACAATTTCTGATAAATACACATGCGGAAGAATTTTTCAAGAAACCAAACACTCACCCCACAGTACTGCTCTTCGTTGAAGATCTGGGGAGGCAAAGGAATCCCGTTTTGAGGTTTTTTTTCTCCAGGAACATTCTCTCTCATCCACTTCCTGTTGTCTTCATCTCCAGCTATATCCAGTTCCTTAAAGTCTATTTTATTAGCTTCCAAAAAGCCTACTACTTCTTGCTGTTTCTTCCTAATCTGGTCAAGAGTAGAAAAAGGTAACTATTAGAGTCAGTTTTTTTTTCCCAATGTTTTGCTTATATTTACATAAATTAAATCCTTTCTCCAACTATACTATACAAAACAAATAATTTTGCAAAGTATTTAAACAAGGAAAACAATAAAATCATACCTCTTCATGATAAAGGATCAACGGAATGATTATTTTAATCTCATCAATGTTTAAATGATGGTATAATCAACCTAATAATAGATATGCTCTTGTCATAGCTTTTATTTGAGATCTTTAAAATATTTTTAATTCTCTGCTAAGTTTTAATGCCAAAAAATAAACAAGAATTGGTCACGAAGAAAAAAGCTGATTGGGAGAAGAGAAAAAAGATTATTTACTATGAAACTCAAATGCCAAGTATACTCATACCAAAAGGCACTGCATTCGCAGTTATGAAAATAGGAACATGAGTCACGTTGAACCAAAGGAGCTCTAGAAATAATACAGAAAAGTGAAAAGCCCACATGGAGATTATTGGAAGGGGAAAGACAGAGAAAAAGCTAGAAAAAGCGGGTGGATATTTCTCTCAGCACATAAGAGTAACACAGTAAAATAGCCCTGTTCTCCCACAGATTTCTCCTTTCTCACGCACACCCAGCTCCGAGAGAGAAGGCCGAGCTTCCCTGTCTCTCCCTGTGGTTCACGCGAATGACTGAATTTACTGCCATTTCTTATGCAGGCGGCCACCTCCTGGAAAGCTTAGAACTCTTTCCTAGAGATGATTGCAACCGTTTTCTCTCTTCGTTCAAAGAACTCACTGCCAGACACACATGACACCCTCTTCAGCAAACATGGGTAAACGAGTTACAGCAGACTCTGGACCACATTTTAAGAACCTCTGGAAGAAACTTCCAGAATGATCAATTGAATGCTCTATCAACACTTATTGACTCTACTCTTCATGAGACGAAACATGAACAGATTCATAGTCTGCTTACTTGGATGGAAAATAATGTAAAGAACTCATTTCCACAATCTAGATACACAACATGCTAAAAATAACGAAGAGGCAAAATATGGTCACTTCCTAAAAGATTAAAATTTTAAATAAGTGCTTTCTTTGACATGTAAATATCTAATATCTTAATGTTTAAATCCTCCACATAGATTATCTCCTAATAAAGAGGAAGACGAGTCATTAGGAATAGTTTATAGGGCGTGAGGCCCCTCAGTCTGCCTGTGTGACTTGTTTATCAGCAGAGGGGCTAGACTTTGAGGATTCTAAGTAAACGCTGTGGAAGGGACATGTTCATCCTACGCCCAGTGTCTAAATTCAAACCCTCGTTTGGTTAAAACCTAATGTTTCTCCCAGAGACTTACGTACCAAAAGGTGATTATATATAAAACTCATTTTTGCCAAAATGAGTAATCCTACCAGTGACTCGAATATAGTTTCTTTCTTACTATAAGGAAAAGTAAGTCACATATGGATGCTTAAGCCCTGGAAACAAATCACTTGATTGTATATATTATATTAATTATAAACATAATATAAACTCATATTAAATAATTTTTTAAAATAAAAGTAAATGCAAGTTATATATAAAATTACATGTTACATATACACATATATAAATGGTAATCACACATTTTCTTTTTAATTCACATTAGATCAATAAATGAAAGGCTGCTATTAGTCAAAGCACAACATTTAATCAGTAAGATTCATGCCAAGATATGTATTTCAGCTTGGGTCAAATGTAGATGAAAAATAAAAATAAAAATCATACAGAAAAGTGTGGAACAATGGAATTTTCCTTAGGCTTCCGGCATAAGCACTCAGACACATTCCTGAGTGTCCCGTCTGTCAGAACCAGAGCAGGATCTGCCCCGACCTTCTGCTCCTCCCCGGGGACTGTACTCCGAATCCCACAGATTCGTGACTAAATTTCTGAATATTATGAAATCCCAGCAGACCTGACGACAGGTTGTTGGACTAAATCGTTACCTTGTTTATTAATCAGGTTTTTTCCACATACTTTCCAACCTGCCCATGAATTGTTTCTGGCACTTTATGAATCACTTACTCCTACAGCAGAGAACGCTGCTGTTTCGACGAGTAGAGGCGTCCTCATTGCAGAAACGCCTTCGGTTAATATTCCAAAAGCCACGTGCTTTATTCTCTCCAAACCCAGTTCACTTCCTTCTCAAATCTCCCGGGCGTGAAGCAGCCAAGGCCAAGGCCCACTACCAACCCGCCGCCACCAACACCATCTCCACCTCGGCAATCCACTCAGGACTGTAGGTGGGGTGAAAAGGGGGCTGCATTTTATTCCATGGTTTCTGAATAGATGAGAAACCTTTCCCAAAGTCCTGACTTATGTTTCTTCTGTGAGAAAGTCAGACAGATGGAGAAAACGGAGGGATGTGTTTCCCACGATTCCTCGCAAGACAAGCAGCTGTGTCTTTGTGATACTGTGTTTAATGCTGTTGCTGAACCTCACTCAAAGAAAGAGAAGAAAAATTAAGCCAGCCTCCCTGTGCTTCCCAAACACCAGTAATTTAAACTGGGCTAAAGGCATCACTCACGGGACTGTTCAGCGCCTGCGAGTTCTGCCTGGGGCTGGGGACGGGTCTCAGGATGAGCCCAAGGACAGAGAAGGGAGCAGGGAGCTCACCTGGCTGGCCTGTCGCCTTCGCCCACACCCCAGTCCATTCTGCCCCAAGGGAGCCTTTCCCCTCTAGTCTCCCCCATGGGGGGTCTCTGTTCAAGGAGCGCCACGGGCCCCTGGGTCAAAGTGCAGCTATTCTCCAGGTGTCCTCCTGGGCTCACTCTCACTACGCGTGGCAGCGGCCCCCAAGGGCGCCTCCCCTTCATGGCCTCAAGGGAGGGGTGTGCACAGCTCCCCACCAGCTCTCGCCACAGACACCCTCTCGCCTTTCTCGCCTCCAGGGCGCCAAGGCCCACACAGGCCCCACAGGCCACGCCAGCTTTCCCAGCAGCCTCCTGGAGGATCTGGGGGTCCTTGGGATCTGTGTCCCTCAGAGCCTTTGGGACCTCAGTGTTGGCTCAAAGAGCTCTGTTCTCCTATGCTGTTACATTTACTCAGAAGAAAGTGTTGTTCTCTGTCCTGAAGTCACCCGGCCCCTGTCGGTTACAGTAAGGTGTCGGAGTGATCTTCGGGTCACTTGCTTGGCACCTCTTGTTTATTGTCTCGTACAGTTAGGAGCCTTTCCAACTGAGGTCACAGTGGTGTAGTGTAAAGCACCTGCCTTTGAGAGTGAGACGACCCGTGTCTCCAGCCGGGCTCGGAAGGCTGGCGTCTGAGCAGGGGCTCTGCTCTGCTTTGCCATGGCCTCGTAGCAAAACGACAGATCGGAGCCTCCCTCCTCACGAGTCTGAGTGAGAGGTGAGGCAGGCGATGCCTGGAAAAGCCTTTCGTACTACAAATGGAGAACTTGCTTCGTCCGACACCAGGCAGCACAATTGTCTCATTAACCCGTCTTGATCGCCACCTTAGGTGAGCACTCTGATCATTTCAAATAACAAAGCTGAAGCGCCAGTGGATTAAAGAAGTTTCCAGGGCTCACACCCCGATCGACCTAGTTCGAGAGCCATGTTTTCCCCCGCTGTAGTATCCTCACTCAAGGCTGCAGAAAGGATGGAGGGACCCAGGAGCCACAGGAGGGTCTGTCCTGAAGACCTCGGCTCCAGGAGAAACAGTGAGGACTGTCCTCTCTCCCTTCGTCCCCTAGTCCACTGTGGCAGTGGTCTTTAGGAAGAGAGAAGGGTCACACAAGAGACACAGGCCTCTCCTGTTCCCAGGATCTCTTCACCCAAACTGCGTCATAAAAACCTGTAACCTCACTCTAGCGTCAACTGCAAAAATAGAGATGTGATGCACACTGCATGTGTGTGATCCCTCACGAAGAGATCGCGGTTCGTTTTTTCCTTTTTTGTTTATCTCATTCATCTACAGAAATCATGATGCCCTCGTTGACTAGGTCACAGACAAGAATTCAGTTTTAAGTATATAGGCTAACGAAATAAATAGTAAAGGTTTTATAGACCGACACTGCACACACGGCATAAGTCCTGGCAGCTGCCCTGAGGTTCTCCTGCAGAGAAGCTTCTGGGTGAAATTGCCCCGCCCAGGAAAAATCATCAGCACTGACGCCATGGCAATAATCAGTCCTTGTTCTTTAGAAATTCTTCCACTTATCTGGCTTGGAACAATTCTTCTGAAACCTAATCATCATAGACTGAGAGTCATTAATATTAACTAATAATTACAACCACCACGATAGTATTGATTAATATTAATTAACGTTAACTAACAATTATAATAACTAATAGTTATAATAATTATCATATTTACTGAGCGCTGATTGAGCACTTGACACCACGCTAGGCATCCGCACGCGTTATTTCCTAAGTCTTCCTGACAACCCATGAGATGAGTACTATTCTTATTCTCATTTTACATGTAAGGAAATTGAGGCTTAGCAAGGTGACATAACTTTCCCAAGGTCACACAGTTCTAAGTAGCACCAAGACACTTGCTAAGGGAAACGGACTTCACTTGACTTTTCCAAGATCCTGGAATCAACTGTATCCCTCCAGATCCTTTGACGCTAACTAAATCAAGCTCCCCAACCTCAGGAATATAGAACATCGAATAACCCTAAGAAATCATGTTTATTCATTGTCTCCGGAAGCATGAGTGGGACCACTCCGACCTGGTCTGCAGAACATGTAGAAGATTGGCAGATGAGTGGTAAAGTTTCCAGCAATGAACATTAGCACCATTTTCCTCAAAATATTATCTTTTTATCTAAATAATCCAAAAATGTGTGCTCATTATAGATCAACTACAAGTTTCTGAATTCATCAACAGCCATGAAAGACTCTGCAGAGTTTTCACAGTTAGAATTTTTCCTCATCTTTTTCTGTTAAAGGATGTTCTAGAAATCATCAGTTGCTGACGTTTCTCTTGTCTTCCTCTCACCCTGTCTGGAAACCGTGTGAACTTTCAGGGCTCGGGGGGGTGGCATTCGACAGCTGCCACTGGAGTTGTCCCCCACCAGAGCCTCACCTAAGGTGTCACTCCTGGCTGAGTGACCATTGAAAACCTGGCTGCCACCTGCGATGGTCCAGGACCCAGATAGAAAAGGAAACAGCCCCCTTGCTGGCCTCCGACGCTCAGGATTAATCAATCTGTTTTCTCCCCACAGTCTAACTTCTGCTAAAATGCTGGTCAAAACGTCAGTCCCGGACAGACAGTGCAGGTTCAAGCCTGAAATCAAAGCGTGAATCACCCCTCGGTAGCCCCCGGTTCTGAGGGCAGGTCTGTCTGGATGGCTGGAACTGGGCGATCCCAAGCCTGGTCCCCAGGAAATCGGGCAAAGCCATGTCTCGGGGGCGGCTTTTGGGGCCTGTGTTTGGTCTGTTCGGATTCCTAGCGCATTTAAAACCGTGGCCTGAGAGAGGTTTGTTCTGGTCGCTGTGACATCATTTTCCTCAAATAATAGTATTACACATGCTAACTTTACACTTTCGGTATGGTTACATGGCATAGCAAGTAATGACATCCAGGAGTCATTTTAATCATCGGCTTCTTCTACGCTCCAAACGTTGTTACACAAAGAGTCATTTATTTGCAACGTTT